GCAGAAAACGCATATTGACGAGGGGTTGTCTGTGTGTTCGTCTGCACCGATTTTTCATCTCGAGACTTACAAAAGCTTCGGAGCTGAAATTTTGGGAATTTAATCTACATGTATGTGCGGTTCGCATCCCCAAAGTGGGCGCATTTTCCAGCGCTGTACCCACCTACGGGTCCGCTAAAGTTTTCTACGGGCAAGCTGCTAGCTCGAAAACTGGAAAAGCTGGAAAACTGAAATTTTAAGGACACATCCCCGCTTGCATAGATGTTAATGAGCTCAAGTCCAGAGACCGAATATAGTACGCACGTACGATCCCCTAAAAATTTTTTTCGGGTCATTTGCCAGCTTGGGAACCTGAGAAGTTAGAGGACTGGAATTTTAAGGGGTTGTTTCCTGACGGTTCTGGCCGCCAGTCTTAATTTGTCTAGCTTGAAGCATTTGCCGGAAAAACCAGTGCCGGTAGCGACAAAAACTGTGTGGAACTATGCAAAAATGCATCTCCGCACGGGCAGCCCGTTCGTTGGCCAATTATTCAGAGTTGCGCAGATTGACGACGGGTTTACTCTGTATCGTGCAGTAGTATCTGAATAAATTTTCTACTGAACTGAATGAACGAACTGTGGTACATTTTCTCATAATTGTACTTATTTTTCCGTTTAATTCACGCAGATTTTTGAGTCTTGAATACTCAATTTTTAATAATATCTTGTCCACAAGCTTGTTTTTTTGCTCACTATTTCTTCTTTTTTTGGACTGTTTTTAGCTTAAACCCCCCTCCATTTTTTGATCATATTTTATAACAGTAGCGTTTTTGTTCTTTCTTGCTTATATATGCTTACATTTCTTTATTTTCAGGAGCTGAATCCTTCTGTGGAAGTGGGATTTGTTTTGCGGAGTGCCGAGGATTTGATTGCGGAGGATGATTTAAAATTTTTATTTCAATTTACTGTTGTGGTTGGAAGCAATCTGCAAGCGGAAGATGCTGCGCAAATAAGCGATTATTTGTACAAGAGAAATATACCTTTCGTATATGCACGGTGATTGTTTTTTTTTTTTTTTTTGCATTGCTCGTAGAGGTATAACAAAAAATAACAAAAATAGAGATATAACAAAAAAATTTGGTAAAACTGTACCTGAGTGAGCAGTGAAGAGAAATGTGGTCTCAAGAAACCTGCTTATAATTACTAAGGTACCAAAAGTAGTCAGTACGAGAGGCCACACGCCAGTGTGAAATGAAACAAAATCCCTGTTTTGCTTCGATTTTTCGTCGATATTATTAATTCCTATTTTTTGAATATTTTTTAATGCAAAAAATTTGCAGGGCATACGGGTTGACTGGCTATGTAAGAGTATGTGTTCGAGAACATACAATTTTCAATTCACATGAGGAGAATGTGGCACCCGATTTGAGGTAAATTTATTCTCGAGGTTCAATGAACAACTTGTATTGCTATGTCTGCATCTTTCCTTGAGTACGTTGATGGGT